ACTTCAATGAAAACTGACTGAGCTATTCTTAGGTTATAGAAGCGTGTAATAAAAGCTTGGGCCTGCTGGTGCGCCCTGGCCATTTAAGGGGTTAAATCAACATAGTTCTTGCCAGAATTAAGTACACTGACATGTTTTATTCATGCGTAACCCACTGACACACTTGTGTCATGCAAATTCTAAGCATGTTGCAGTCCCCTTGACTTGCTACTACACAATTCAATGATTTTGAATGAACAAAAACAACAGATATGCTGTGACTGTAGCTGACAATAAAAAAAAAGCTGTTTGCTTTGAAATGGATTGTCATAGAGCAGCCCCAGTTCACTTAAAGTGGAATTACACTGATTTTTATATTACACATACAAGAAAATCATTAAAATGTAAAGTTAGTAATTTGACATCAAATGCTTCCAAGTCATCCTCGCAGTGGTGATGATAGGAACCAGAGATCTGAAGAGTTTAATGGCTCTAAAAGTTACCTCACAGAAAGCTATTACATTAAATACACTCTTAGAAAAGACGGTTCTTCAAGGGTTCTTTAGTAAAGAAAAAGGTTACATAAAGAACCATGAACACTCAAAGAACCCTTTGCATGATTAAAGGGTTCTTTGCATTTTGCATTCTTCAGATTGATGGAGAATGTGCTGTAGATGGTTCTATATAGAACCTTTTTCAAAAGGGTTCTTCTATTGTTACAAGCTTGGCACCGTAACAATAGAACAACACTTTTGCGTGCTTATACAGAACACTTTTCTAAAAGCTTCTATATAGAACCATCTACAGCACATTCTGAAGAACCCTTTTAATGATGCAAAGAACCCTTTAGTCACGCAAAGGGTTCTTTGAGTGTTAACGGTTCTTCATAGAACCGTTTTCTTTACTAAAGCACCCTTAAAGAACAATCTTTTTTAAGATTGTACTTACAGGTTCTCTGCCTGTTGTCTGAGACAATGTTTTATGGACATTTTGCAATAAGCTTTTGTGCTACAATGTAGGCAATTTTTTAAAATGCATCCATGGTGGAGGGATACATACATACATACAGGATATTCTAATATATATATATATATATGCACGGTGGCGCAGTGGGTAGCGCTGTTGCCTCACAGCAAGAATGGCCTGGGTTCTATTCCCGGCCGGGCGACCAGGGTCATTTCTGTGTGGAGTTTGCATGTTCTCCCCGTGTCTGCATGGGTTTCCTCCCACAGTCCGAAAACATGCAGTCAGGCCAATTGGACATGCTAAATTGCCCCTAGGTGTGTGTGACTGTGTCTGTCTGCACTGCGATGGACTGGCGACCTGTCCAGGGTGTATCCTGCCTTCCACCCAATGACAGCTGGGATAGGCTCCAGCACCCCACCACGACCCAGAAGGATAAGCGGTTTAGATGATGTATGTATATATATATATAATATATTTGTGGTGTAGACATTGCAACCCCTGGTTCCCATCACCACCACTGTGACCAGTTCTGACTGTACAAGATTCACTACAATGAACCATTTTACACCAAACCACTCTGAATGACTTTTGTTTACATCTCAACAGTGGAATTATGCAAAGACTTTGAAAAATCTGAGGAATTTCCCTTTGATAAAGGTGCTTGGAATTCACATGATTTAAAAGTATTAAATGGTTGTTTGTGAATACCTCAACGCATTTAATGCCTTTAATTTTACTTCTTTTGGCGATAATGATGTTGATGTCACAGTCGGTGAAAACTTTATTCATATGCAACCGACTGACACATCTGAATCCATTCACAGCTCTACTTTTTTCAGCACACAGTGCGAAAACCTGGCTGCCTTATCCCGTCTTGCGCAGGGCGCCCAGCAAGCATCCACGTCCGTCACGTGCCAGCGCTTGAGCACCCTCGCGCTGAAACAAACCAACACTCTGGAGCTGCATTCCATTCCACAGGGTCCCTCAGCAGCACAGTTATATCCCTATACACTTGAGCCCGGGCTGAGGATTAAGTTGATGAATACCTTCAGCCTCATAATCAAACACACAGTTTCAGGAGATACTGAATGACTAATGGGCAAACTTTCCCGTATCCTCCTTTGTCCACTACTCCCTGTGCAGTCTCACGTTCCCTTCTAGCGACACCTTGTCACTCCCTAAGCTTTGGAATCACCCTGAACACGTCTGACTAGCCTGCGCAGTGTATACTTTGCAGGGAACCGCGAGGGCGATTGGAATACCCCTTGGTTGTTTAAAGCCCCGTCAGCTCGAACGTCTTCCGAAGCTTTATTACAACAACCGCTGCGTCGCCCTTCGCAGCCAAACGAGACAAGACAAAAGGCCGCGTGCGCGCGCCCGCGAAAAGAGAAAAGGAGGCTGGCTTGTGCGCGCGCGAAGTGAAGGATACGTGTGAGCCGTCATGTCGCGCGGCTATTATTACCTCTCCACCCACCCCCTACAGAATGGGGCAATCACAATAGTTCTTCCAAAAGCAGCATCCATCTCCTCCATCCCTCCCTCTGTCCACCACTCCGTTCGTCCGCGCGCAGGGTCACGTACCCCAGCGCCAGGGCACGGTGCCACAGGGGCGCGCGCGCGCTCGCGCTCACGGATGCCGGGGTTCATTACGGGAGAGCGAGACAAAAGCTGAGGAGTCAGGCCAGGCAGAGAGAGAGAGAGAGAGAGAGAGAGAGAGAGAGAGAGAGAGAGAGAGAGAGAGAGGGAGAGAGGTGAATGAGAGGGGGTTGTATAAGAGTTTTTCCAAAAAAGGGGGGGAAACATTTTAGTGAATGAAAGCCATTGTTTAGCATGTCCCAAGACAGACGATCAACAGTTCGCGCTTCAGTAATGAGAAAAGAAAACAGAACGCAGTGATGAGCTCAGCGGGGCAGCCCAGCAGACAAAGGCTGGTCCGCAGATAATCTTTAATGAACACGGATGCTAAATATAGACGGCACATAAACTCGTGATGATCACTTTCACTTCCCCCCTCTGAACCTACAGCGAGGGACCCAGCGCTGAATTGGCGCACTGCATTGGCGCACTGCATTCACATGTACAGTGATCTGATTCACTGGACGTTTACATTGTATTACTGCGCAACCGTTTGGCTCCTTTGCGTCATGCGCATGATGCAAATGTGTCAAGTGGTTGCACATGAATGAAATGTTTTTGATCAGCATAATTCGTGCCAAAACTAAGTAAACTGAAAAGCTCCGCTTGTGCTGATGTAACGTTTTCTTCATCTGTAACCACCTGACACACCTGACACGTTTGAACCCAAAACACCATTTTTTTTTCATTGTGCTGAATGAGGGTCGCCTATAGCGGACTGAGGCTTATACAAAACAGGCTGAACTGATATGAGTGAGCAGTTCTGTAAGCGTGGCTCCTAATTCCACCAAGATGTTTCTTCAAGAGTTCTTTAGTAAAGGCAATGGTTCTAAATAGAAGGCAATGGTTCTAAATAGAACTATTGCCTTTACTAAACAACCCTTGAAGAAGCATCTTAAGAGTGTGTAAGGTGGAACTTGGAACCACGTTTACAGAACTGCATACTCACATCACACCAGACTGCTTTACTCTCTTTAAAAAGATGGCTCTTCAATGGTTCTTAAGTAAAGGGAATGGTTCTATTTAGAACTGCGAGCTCTATATACAGCCATTTGCTTAAATCGTTCCCTGCATGGTGAAATGGTTCTTCACATTAATGTAGAATGTGTTGTATATGGTTCTACATAGATCCTTTTCTAAAACGGTTCTAAACAGCAGCAAAATGGGTTCTGTTGTTACAAGCTTGACATCGAATCTTTTTTGGTGCTATATAGAACCATATACAACACACTGTCCATCAGTTTTAAGAACCATTTCCCCATGTAAACCCTTTAATGGAAAACAGTCTGATTCGTTGTGATATGAGTGCAGTTCTGTAAACATGGTTCGAACTGTGATGAAATTCCACCTTATTCAGTCTTTAAAATGGTTTTTAATGATTCCTATGGGCAATGGTTCTTTTTAGGACTATGAGCTCTACATAGAACCATTTACATGCTAAAATGGTTCTCTGCATAGTGAAATGGTTCTGCAGATTGATGGAGAATGTGTATGGTTGTATATACACCCTTTTTGAAAATGGTTCTAAATAATACCAAAATTCTTCTATTGTTACAAGGCTTGACATCGTAAAAACAGCAGGACCCGTTTGGTGCTACCATATACAACACACTCTCCATCAGTCTGAAGAACCATTTCACCATGTAAAGAATGCTTTAAGCATGCAAATTATTCTATATATGGCTCATGGTTCTAAATAGAACCATTGCCTTTACTAAAGAACCCGGAAAGTCAGGTTTACACTCGTGAGTGTAAAGTGGATTTACAACCAAAGCAGCAGGAGCGCCGACTTATACTGCAAGTGACAAAAGAGTGTCATCTTTCAGCTACAATAGCACACAAACACGTGGTGATCACTTCCAGGTCTCAGTGGAGGACGCAGTGCTGAGTGGAGTTCAGAGTAAATCTCGAGTATCCAGCAACACCAGCACCAGCACTGAACTGGAACATACCGCTGATCATGACGCTTTTCCACAATGATACATGAATAAATATGTCTTAAATACGTCCACCGCTGTGTATATACAGGTCTACCGCTGTGTATATACAGGTCTACCGCTGGGTATATGCAGGTCTACTGCTGGGTATATGCAGGTCTACCGCTGGGTATATGCAGGTCTACTGCTGTGTAACTGAACTCTAGTCACAGAGTCATTGGAGAGCAGCTCGTGGTGAGAGAGGACTCTCTTAACCCTGAGCTCATAACCGGAGTAAACCTCGCGCTGATCTCCGGCACTCTGTGTTCCGACGTGTGTGTGTGTTTTTGCGTGTCGTATTAAAATGAGCGCGCTCTGCTCTCCAATCAGCGCCGAGCGGGATCCCCCACTCCTTCTTTTCGGAAATCATTCATCCCGCCGCGCAGTCAAACATTAACGCGCCGGCTGCTGCGCGCGCCTATAAATACGGCGGGCGCGCGACAGAGCGGCAGTTAGTCGCTCTCACCGGACAACGCAAGGCGAGCCGCGCTGCGCTCCACACTCAGCTCGCTCTTATTTATTTATTTATAGAGCTATTTATATCTATTCCTCGTCACTGTCCTTTTTTTCTGGAATGACCGGAGCGCCCGTCAAGTTCTTCCTGTGCGTGGCGGCCCTGGGTGCGCTCGTGCTGTCGCCGGGGCTGCGCGCCTCCCCGCTTGCGGCGCAGGAGCCCATCCGCTGCGCGCCGTGCTCCCAGGAGCGCCTGGATGAGTGTCCGCCGGTGGACCCGAGCTGCAAGGAGGTGCTGCGCGAGCCAGGCTGCGGCTGTTGCATGGCGTGCGCGCTCGGCCGCGGGGACTCCTGCGGCATCTACACCGCGCCGTGCGGCTCGGGGCTGCGCTGCCTGCCCAGGCCCGGAGAGCCGCGACCGCTGCACGCGCTCACGAGGGGCCAGGCCGTGTGCTCTGATCCCGGCGAGTACGAGCACGAGCAGAATCAGAGAACGCCAGGTACGCGCGCGCACACACGCACACGCACGCACACACACACACACACACACTTACGAGTTTCGTTAACGTTTTCTGTTGCACGTCTTTCTTTCATCTTTCTATCGCACGAAAGGGGACGCTGTGGGTGTGCGTGTGACGTAGACCGCACGCTGTAATCTTGTGCGAGATTTCATCAGCGGTTGGCTCGCAGTGTCCATAGGAAGCGATGCGTTGAATTGACTTGATTCAAACGAGTGCTGCATTCCCACATCATTCCTACTCACTGTGTTCATATGGCAGATCGTATCCCTGTGGGAATGATGTACACGTTTGAATCTAGTACATATCTAGTACAAACGTGTTTGCGTGGACAAACGCGGCTGGTTCGTGTGAGCTTACATGTAAACTCTGCGCTCTTCTCTTTCAGATGTGCCCGAGCTCGAGCCTGAACCCGCCTCGACTCTCTTCGTGTCCCCTCACGGGAAGCCCCTGGACCCACGGCTGGTGTCCGGCGCTCAAGACAGCATGAAGTCCAAAGTGAACGCTTTCCGCAGGAAACTTGTGGAGCAGGTGGGCGGAGTTCACACAAACGCGACAAAACTGGGCTATTTTAAGACGTTAATGTGGGCTAAATGAAACCAGAGGCGTCTATTATTACCTGTGGGTAACATTTCAAACCACTAGAGGGCAAGAGAATACTTTTTTTTGCCTTCACCTAACAGCGAGTCAAGGATGTAAGACCTGTAATGTCTTAGAGGGGCTTAGCTGATTCATTGGGGATGCTTCAGAAATGCATGACACAGACATAGACGGATAGTGTTTGTAGGTCATGTTAGTGTACATACAATCCAGATTGCAGTGCACCCAGCCAGGCTCTTCATAGGTTCCCTACAGGTAACAATAGCAGGCCTAGTGTGACTCTGTGCAGGAAATCAATGAACAGTGATCATCTAATGTTTCTTTTTTCCTTTTCTTTTTTTCCTTCCCAGGGTCCCTGCCATGTGGAACTGCAAAGAGCACTTGAGAAGATTGCTAAATCCCAACAGAAGCTGGAAGAGAAGCTGACCAGATTCTACCTGCCCAACTGTGATAAGCACGGCTTATACAAAGCCAAACAGGTGAGCAAACAGCACAGTTTGGGAAAAAGATGTGAGTGTTCGACACCCTGTAAAGGGCAAACTGGACACTGATTAATTGAATTTAGTGGCCTCAAATGTCTACATCACTTCCACACTAATAAAATATGTCAACATCATTTTTACATATCCATACAGAAATGATGTACACATTTGAATAGAGAACATTGTTCTTGTTTGCTTTCGGCTAGTTACTCTAGGCTGATGTCAATTCTTGTCATATTGCACTGTACATCAAGACTGTGTGTGTCTGTAACTGAAGGCCTTTATAACCCCACTTCCTTTGTCCCTTTGCAGTGCGAATCGACTCTGGATGGTCAGAGGGGGAAGTGCTGGTGTGTGTCACCGTGGAACGGAAAAAAGATTCTGGGATCAAGCGAGCTGCCCATGGATGGCGAATGCCCCCAGGAATTCAATCACTGATCACACACACATCCATACATACATGAGGGCCCTGAGGAACTCGCTCTCGCCTGACGGACTACATTTCCTCCCATGCATATGCAGAACATTAACATAATGCCACTGATTTCTTTTTATACTTTTTATTTATTTATTGTAGCCTACATGGTGTTTTTTGATTCAGGTACACTGTTTTTTAATTGGTGAATACTAGTTCACTAAATCCACCAGAAAAAAAAGAGAAAAAGAAAATCTATTTTTTTTCTGAAAGGATTATGAATATGTTTATATTTACATAAAGCATCCATGAGTATTTATTTAAACTGAATGTATACATATTAATTTTTTTGATAAGAATATTTATTCCTTATGCCTTATTATTGTTATTATTATTTTTGTATGATGTAAAAATTTGTATGTTCAGTGTTTATTAACAGTGTCAGTTGTCTTATCTTTCCAACAGTCTGTTGGAGGAAATCTAAATGGAAAAAAAAGCACTGCATGACCAAACCACTTTGTCACTGCCGACGTCTTTCCATACGTTGTTTTCCGTTGCTATACTTTTTATATAGTATATAAGGTATAACAACAGAAGACACATATTTACATAAACACTTATTATCTTAATCGTCTTATGACTTTGCAGAAGTTGGTAGGCTATGCTATCAGGACTAAAGCATTCATGATTCTGTACTTAATACAGCAGTGCATGATGGGTATTGGTCTTCACAGCTTCTGAAACGGGTAACTGCCTGTTCCTACCTCTGTTTTTTGAAGATTTGTTGTATGTGTTTTGGAGAGCCTTTTGTTTTAGCCAATGTTGCTGTTTTATCCATGAACTTAGGACCACTTGAGGTTGGGTGATTGTGTGTGAATCACTTTTTGGAACTGTCTGTGTGAACGCGATCAAAGTGAGATGGTTGTACATTGAGTAAATGCTGTGGTTAGTTCCTTGTTTTAATGGTGCAGTTTCTACACTTATCCACTGTGAGGAGGTGGGATTCTGCTGCTCCAAAGCAATTGATCAGTGTGTGTATATATAAATATGCCTTTTTAATAAATTGTAATTGCAATAAATTGTGGAAAAATGATATTTAATACAGATCTCAGTCTTCATTATTGGTGACACAAAGCAAGCAGTGAAATAAACATATATAGTTCAGCTGCGGCGAAATATGAAACAAAGCATGAAACTCAATTTGCAAAACACAAGGCCAATAAAGTGCATAATGTGAAACCTCAGACAGCATAAACCACAAATATGCTCTCTCTCTCTCTCTCTCTCTCTCTCTCTCTCTCTCTCTCTCTCTCTCATAATGTACCTTGCCAAATCATGATTATGTTCTGTCTTGTCTATTTTTAAAATTGCCGGAGGGCAGCTCCATTTGTGTGTGCATGTGTCCTTATCGTGGTAATCTCAAATGGAGCTGCACACTAACTTTAGCTCGGTATTTGGGGGAACCAGGCTCCGCTTTCTGCAGTGTCTTTGACCTGCTCTGTGTTTGTACTGGTCGGGCACAGGAATGCCCCCCTCCTCCCCTTGCCCAAGTGAGCCGCCTCTCCGGCACCACCCCCCTACACTTTTTTCAGCTTTTGCACTTTTACACATAAAAACGATTGTATCTGAAAATGTATGCCAAAAAAGTAACATCGTTCCAGTGCTGTTTGGGACACCTGAAGTGCTCTGTTTGTTTCAACTGAATTACGCATTGTAGCACCATCTGTGTGAACATGTGTGTTATGAACACTGCAAATATAGGCAAATTAGTACTGAAGATTAATAAGTTGTGTGTTTACTGGTTGAAAAATACTGACCCTTTTATAGCTTTAGGTATAGATTAAAATGACCCTTTGCACTACGCAAGTGAATACATTGCGTAAAACTTAAATATGGCTTATGGTACTTATTCACTATACATATGCCAAGATATCTAGTTATTACCTAGACTGAAATGTCATATATCATAAAGTCTGGGCTGATTTGTCTCTTGGAGAGCCCCTGTCATACACATACAGTGCAAAAGTCAGAAACCACACTTCACTTATTTAACTGTCAGTCAAAACAGCTGCTAAGTTATTCATTTTTCAGTATCAGGAAAAAGCAATATCATCTTTAGCATTTAATGTGTCCTGGCTGGCTTTCAGTTTTTTAAAGAAATCTACAGGGGTATTTTTCCACACCTCCAAAGTTCAGTCTTAGAAGTTGGTTTCATTTTCCACATCTCAGATGTGCGGTTTCAGTGTTCTAGTGCAAAATTTATTCTTTACTATTTTCTTTTTTTTTTAATAAGGGCTACTTGACAGGTACATAGCCTTTTACACCCTTAGCATTGAGTTGTCTCCTCACAGTGGAAGGATAGACAGAAACACCTGTATTTTTTTCAATATCTGAAGCAAGAGCGGAGCTTGATTTTCTCGTATCTTTCAGAGATGAAAGCTTTAAGAACTGTTAATTTGAAGGCGGAAGTTTTGGTGATCGACCAGGTCTTGCACGGTTGTTAGCAGTCCCGTTTTCTCTGTATCTTTTAATAACTTCAGTTTTAGTCCTGTTTTCTTACAGATAGTTTCCTTTGCCTTCCCCTTCCTTATGCAAATGGGTTATATTATATGTAATCTTCTCAGAAATGTCCTTTGAAAAATGAATAACTTGGCTAGTTTGACTGGAAATTAAATAAATAAAGGGTGGCTCCTGACAAAATACTGTGATTCTGTGAACTCATGAGTCTGAGTACAAAAATCAAAATCCATTGATTTTTGTACTCAGAATCATGAGTTTATATTAGTCTACACAAACATTTCTGAGACTACTACTTTATTGAACAGATGCCACTCACAGTGACGATGCTGAGATGATGCCATCTATTCAAACAGAGACTTGAAGTCAAGTGTAAATTAAAATAGTGTTTATTTTTATTTAAAAAAAGACATTAAATACAAATTATATTTGAAAACATTTCCTTTCTTGAAGAAAGGCATAGCTGTGTAATATCTAGTTTAGTAAAATGAAAAGCTTTTTAAAGAATCAAAATTCTTTTAAATGATAAAAAAAAGTACAGTTACCCGTGAACGGAGAGATCCTTAAAAGTGACTTGCGGCGAGAAGTGGCCCTGGCATTGCACAACAGAATGTGGGTGGCAAGTTTTTGTTTGTTTTTCTTAGCTTCTCCTTAGCTTTGATATTAGCCTAGCTGCAGCTTTAAACGTTAGCTTAGCATCAGCTTAAATTTAACATTCACTCTGTTTTAGCTTAATCTCAACAAACGATCTAAATCTTTAGCTCAGACCTAACTTTAGCTCAGCCAGAAGCTAACTTCGGATCAACTTAGCTAAACTCTCATTTAGATCTAGTAGTTTATGCCAAGAGAAAGACCTAAGAAACCTGAAGATGTTTCATAGTAGACCACTCAACCAAGGACAGAACCATTTCTTAACTAATCGCTGAGACTTTGCACACTGCACTGTTGATAAAATATCTAAAAACTTTAGTGATTATATTCCCAAAAAATATGCTGAGTTCTATCTATTCACTGTTGTGCAATCAACGAGTCACTTAACTCTCAAAAGAACGAAAACGTTTGGATCAGCTTATATCTCTTTCTTAGATAAATAACTTTGATCTTTTAAAGTAATGTTCACATGCCTCTTCAGACACATAGCTGGCCAGAAATAAAACATATATTCATATAAAAATGACACACAAGTTAAAGGAAGGAGGGCCAATAGCTAAGCATAGTTTTATGCTCTTCCCCCATAATCAAGTCATGAAAAACAAAAAATGGCGCAGCACCAATATTTAGTAAGTCTTTAGTCTTTTTCGTATGTATTTTTTTTTAGTGTTTGGGAGGGATTTGGGGTGGAGGGGTCAGGAGGGTGGGGGATTAAGCTTTTGGCCAATTTTGTGCTACTGAGCTACTGGGTGGGTTACCTCTCCGGCACCCTCCACTTTTCAAGTCTTTTCTCAGGAGGTCAGACAGAGACAGAATGAGACCAGACATCCTTCCTGTAACATAATGAACAGGGTCACCATGTAGAGCTGTGGCCTTGTTTGGGTGAAACAGCTGGACAATATTTAAAGAGACAGAGCACAACCCCCCTAATCATTATTCATCACATTTCGGCACCGAAGCGGTTAAGGCATTGCTGTGAAAAAAAAAATAATAAAAAAATGAAAGGAAGAAAACCTGCCAGTAATTATTGTCAAGCTTTGGAGTGCACCAGATATGCAGCGACAATGCAAGATATTGTTGCATTCCCGTTACATTCAAATTCACAAAAAGACGATGCAAATACATGACAAATACTGTGTCTATAAAAAAGATGGTATATTCAAGCATTGGGAGTGATCCCATTAAGTGCTCTGTAATGTATATTAGTGCGTTGAAGATGTGGTGTATATTATATCCATCTGGAGTCCATTTGGAAGCGTGCTGCAGGCTACAGCTTTGATATCTTACATACTCTTCTCCTTCCAGCTGAACAGGAAAACAGGCATCAGAAAGACATGTAGTTAATCTCCCAAATGCTTAACATGGGCTTAAATCGGCACACGAACACAGAAGCATGAACACTGAATAAAAGAAAATGACAACATTGAAAAAATCTGCATTGAAATGACTTTTTTTTAAAGGCCATTCAATTTGACTTAAAATGTCCTGATATGGAGTCGATTGTAAGAGTTTTGTAATATTCTAAAACATAAATGTTATTAAGTTGTGAGACATGGCCACTGTAATAGACTGGGGTAGTTGTTTAGCGAGGGGCCAAAGTGCATCAAGTGCTTGTGCTTCAGATGGAGCCAATGGCAGGAGCAGCCCAGCACTACTGAGCATGCCCGTTTTCGAACGGTCCTACACCAGAAGGGTGGCCATAGGAAGCCTTAAGGGGCTACGAGAGAGACAGTGATAGTCATGGCAGTGATTTAAAGAAGGCTCTTCATTTTACCAGAAAAGAGAGAGGGCCAACGAACGCTCTTACTCAGATACGACAAACAAAAGCTCTCGCACATCTACAAACACAGTGTTAATGAAGGCTAATTTATAAACGTAACGTGTTTGTCTTTTGTTAGTGTCTCTCCGGTGCCCTCTTGGGGTATAATCCAAACAGGAAAAAAAAAAACAGAATAGTGCAGATACCCCCTCCCTTCCTATCTTCCTCCCTCGGCCCCCTCTCTCTTCGCTCCCCTGATGTGTAAAAGTGACCTGGTCTGATGAGTCCCTGCTCCAGCGCATGGGTGGGGTGCTCAGCAATAGGGCAGCACCTTTAAAAATCTCCCCTCCCCCCTTTTCACTGTGGATTCATACCATTCAGAGAGGATCCTCCTCCCTCCCTCTCTCTTCTCTCTCTCTTTCTCTCCCTCCCTCAACCCCTCTATCTCTCCGTCTGCGCTTTTCACTTTTTTTCCAGGCTGTAACAGTGGACTTGGCCTTGTTCATTTCCTTCGTAGCCTGGCAGAGGCTGTCCATACTTGTCCACGCACCAACAGTAACCTCTTCTGCGGCCTTTGGATGGACGGCACTGCGGAGGAAAGAAGGAGGGGAAGGGGGGATGGATGAGCATATTCTGTTAGGGATATGTACTGTACATGCAACAAAAACAGCCTCAAAATGGAGCAAGAGACAGGGGCAAAACACACGTCTCTCCTGGCATATCTCACCCAGGTGACAGAGAGTAACACCAACACTAGAATCCAAAGTGAGAAAGAGAGAGAGAGAGAGAGAGAGAGAGAGAGAGAGAGAGAGAAGCCATATGAAATAGTTAACATGGAAGCAGTTACTAATGAAGCACTTTGTCTAGAGAATCATAGACGGTTTAGAAAGACTGGAAATGTTTACACGTTCACTATTTAAACTACTTCCCTCTCTCTTTCTTTCTACCTTCTCACTTCTTTGGCGGCGAGTCAGAAACGCGTGCAAATCAAACATCACGTCCAGGGGAAGAATGCATTGCTGCTATTGCCTCGTGGTGGGTATGCGTTTGTATGTAGGAGAGAGAGTGTGCAAGAGAGACAGAGGAAAATCTTTCTATCTAAGAAGATTAACAGCTCCAGCACACAAAGTTATTCTGTTGCATATGTCTATGTGCATTTTTTGGCTTTGACCA